CCCAAGTGTCCTGGTTGTTTTTAGTTGGTTGGTTGGTTGGTTAGTTGGTTAGTTGGTTGGTTGGTTTTGTTTTGTTTTGGTTTGGTGTGGTTTGGTTTGGTTTTTTGTCAACCTGACATAAGCTAGAATTATCTGAGGAGAGAAACATCAATTGTTCTCTTCGTTCCATTGATTAATGATTGATGTGGGAGCACCCGGCCCACTGTGGGCTGTGCCACCCTTGGGCAGTGGTTTTAATTTGTATGAGAAAGCAGGCTGAACAAGTAAATGAGAGCAAGCCAGGCAGCAGTGCTCCTCCTTGGCTTCTACTTCAGTTCCTGCCTCCAGGTCCCTGCCCTGAGTTCCTGCCCTGGCTTCCATCACACTCCCCAGGATGGGAGTGTGACCTGAGAGTCTTAGTATGAAATAGGCCCTTTTCTCCCCAAGTTACTTTTTGGTCATGGTATTTCAACACAGAAAGAAAAGAGTAACTAAGACACCAGGTGATTCCAAGTTGTGTTAAGTTGACAGTAAATCCCAACACACTTAGCACGCACTTATGAACTTGAGATTTACTCAAATACACATAACACACAAATGGATCTGGGATTCTCTTTGTGGTCCTGAGCTGGCATCTGGGCAGCACCTGAGGCTTTGTGAAGACGCAGATTTGAGGATCCTTACCAGATTTACTGAATCAGAGACTTTGTGTAGGGGCACAGTGACCTGAATTTTAAAAAACCTTCTGGGTATTTCAGTGCTCACTCACATTTGAGAATGACAGTTATACAAGCTGTGAGGTTAAGATGGCTGTCACTTAAACTGATGGGTGCAATTGTCTTGTTTATCATGCCTCTATCAAAGTGCCAAACAATACCAACAATCCACAAGTGCTGATATATTTTCCCAAGTCACAGGTTTTTCCTATGATAAAATTAGGTATTTTTAATGTCTTGGCTTCAAGGAAGGTTATTTTAGACATGTGTGTTATCGTCTATATGTCATGCTCAGTTCCTTCTACTTATTTTTTTATTTTATGTATGTGAGTGTTTTGCCTGCATGTATGTATATGTGTCACATGTGCCTAGTGCCCAAGAAAGTCAGAAGAGGGTGTCAGATCCCCTGGAACTGGAGTTATAGATCACTATGAGCCATCAGGTGCTGGGAACTGAACCTGGGTCCTCGGAAAGAAACACAGAAGCTCTTAACCATTGAGCCTTCTCTCAGGCCCATATGCTCAGCTCTTAACTAGCATGTTTCAGTACATAACGAAAGCATGGAAAAGTATCAAAATTTTCAACTGTGTATCAACTGCTATTTATATTCCATAACATTTAACTTATGCTTCCTTGGGCCAAAAAAACTTTAAAAATGGTGAGTTAGATAACACTTATCTTAGTAATAACCTAAAGCCTGTCAAATGATGTGAGAAACGGAGTATCCCTAAATAGTAATTGTAGCATCAGAATAAAATGTCATTTGCACAGTAAGGCTCTATCTGTGCTTGCTGTGTTAAGTGGGAAAGAAGAGCTGACCTGGAAGCCTGGACTCCTGATACATGATGCCCTTTGTAGCCTATGATTTATAATGCACCTGAGACATTCATAGAGAGAGATGCCAGGAACACTAATAGAGTCCTGTTAAGTCAAGCTTCTCAGAAAAATGGGGCCTGTTTAACCGGTGCCAAGGGCCTGGTGATTAGACACTGTCTCAGACAACAATCTTAGTGCTTCTTTTTTTTCTAATGCCACTCATTCATGACACCTAAGATGCACCAAATGTATCCCTTTACTCTTATAGCTTATTTGGCCAATAAAAGTATATGTTTATCCCATAGAATGTTTTGAAGTATGTGTGCGTAGTGAGTTGGGGTAACCTGATTACTATGTATGTTACCTCACACCCTTTGGGTTTTTTTGAAAGAACACCTAAAATTACCACAGTGCTTCTCAAGGATACAATGCATTATTAGCTATAGTCACCAAGTTCTACCCTAGATTTCTGGATGAAGTTTTCTACCCTTTGACCAACAGAGTGCCACCCTTCCCCCAGCTCCAGTCCTGGCCTCCACCATCCTCTGTCCTTCTGTGAGGTCAGCTGGTTTAGACAGTACATTGCAGTTTGAATATGATACCTGACATTCTGTGCTGGGTTTATTTCACGTCCTGTGATAATCTCCATTTCCAGCAAGTCACAAATGACACTTCCTTCTTCTTGAAGACTTCAGTGTTCCACAGTGCATGCATGTTAAGCCATCATCTGGTAGACAGCCTTTTCCATTTCTTCTCTCCTGTGCCTAATGCCACATTGACATGTAGTGAGTGCAGAGGCCTCGTGACATAATGGCCTCATTTCCTTGGCCTCACATGGTAGGTTTAGTTTTGATTTTCTGAGGGCACTCCATACTGCTTTCACAATAATACAAATTTACCTTCCTACCAAGAGTGCATAAGTGCCTACTTTTTTCTCCATCTTCTCCAACACTCTCTTGACCCTTTCAGCAACAGCTTAACCTACTTGAGGTGATGTCGACTGTGGTTTTCACTGTCATTTCCTCTCTGTTTAATTGAGGAGACTATTTTTTTATAAACCTTCAGTAATTTGCATTTCTTCTCCCTGGAACTCTATCCTCAGGGTCTTTGGCCATTTTCAACAATGCTATGTTTTCTCACTAGTCACTCACAGGTATTTCTTATGTTTCTGAAACTGGTCATCTGAGAAGAGGGAACCTCAGCTGAGGAATTACCTCCATCAGATTGGCTTGTAGGCATGCCTGTAAAGCATTTTCAAGATTAGTGATTGGTGTGGGAGGGTCCAGCCCACTACGGGTGGTGCCATCCCTTGGCAGATGGTCTTGAGTTGTATAAGAAAGCAGGTTGAGCAAGCCAGAAAGGAGTGTTCCTCCATGGCCCCTGCTTCAGTTCCCACCTCCAGGTTCCTGCCTTCAGTTCCTGCCCTAGCTCCCCTTGGTGATGGACTGAAACCTGTAAGATGTAAGGAACCCTTTCCTCCCCAGATTGGTTTTAGACAGTGTTTATCACAGCAACCAGAAGCCAACTAGAACCTGATCTTTTCTCATGCAGTACAATTCAGTGTTTTAAAAGATTTACATGTGGATATCAATGGATTTTAAGGAGTTACCTTGAATCTATAGACTTCTGTATGTGTGGACATTTCACAATCATTATTCTTCCAAATAACTGTGAAATAAACTCAACCTATCATTTAATGTGTCTACGTTTTAAAGAATTGTTTTAACTTGTCAGTGAAGGGACCAGCAGAAAGATGAAGGAGTTGCCACCAGAAGCAAGACAGTCCTGAGCAAAGCTCCCAAAGCTGCTTCAGAAATAAATGTCAGACAATTCACCAAGTTACATAAGACTATTTAGCCTTCTGTGAGCAGCCCACAGAGTTAGCTTCTCTCCCAGGCAACAGAATCCCAACCACCTAGTATCTTAAAAAGTTGTAAATCACTTGTGTTTTTGTATTTTTAATTGTATTTATTCTTTTTTTTTTTTTGAGACAAAATGTCTCTGTGTAACCCTGACTGTCCTGGAACTCTGTAGACTAGGCTAGCCTCAAACTGGAGATCCACCTGTCTCTGCCTCCCAAGTACTAGGATTAAAGGCATGTGCCACCACCACCTAGCTTATTCATTTATTTTTAATTGTGTGTGTGTGTGTGTGTGTGTGTGTGTGTGTGTGTGTGTGTGTCTGCATGCCTGTATGTGCACATGAGTACAGGTGCCTACAGATGCCAGAGGTGTCAAACCTCCCTGGAATGGGAGTTATAGGCTGTTCTGAACTGCTTGATGAGGGATTCTGGGAATCAAACTCAAGTTTTCCTGTAAGAGCAGTGTGTTCTATTATCTCCTGAGACATCTCTCCAGCACTTGTATTTGTATATCCTTATTAATAAAATACATTGTGCCCCAAGAGTATTGTATGAGAATAGTAGTGAATGGAGTCTTCAAAAAAGATAAGTTGCTATAGCCCTAGAACCTGTGAATATCACCATGCACAGGGAAGACAGGGCTCAGTGGGTGATCTGGAAAGAAGGGAAGTTTCCTGTGATGTTTGGGAAAGCCCTGATTGCATTTCAGGCAGCTTATAAGAGTGAAACAGGAAGGGGAAGGACTGAGAGAAAAGAGGCACCATGACCATAACCCACCTGAAGCCCCCCACTTACAGGAAAGAGCAGGCCGCAGACCTCCCCAGAGGGTGTAGAGAGAGCAAGCCCACCACCACTGTGGCTGTGAACCTCTAGCCTCCAGAACATTGAGTGTCTAGCTTTCTTTTGTGTTAAACCACTCAGTTTGTGAAAACACATTTTTGGCTGCCCTAGAACACTAATACAGAGCCAAGCAGACTTGCTAGAAAATTCTCTAGAGTAGTAGGAAGAAATCAAGCAATTCCAGCTTGCCTTTCATAAGAAGTACTGGATTTCTTCTCAGCCTCCTGGACAGTGATTGGGAAGCTGTGCTCTGCCACAACGGCTCAGAGTTCACACCGGGCCTGAGACTATTACACAAGAATCCATATGTAGACACACGTTCATTTGAAACAATCCTAGATTGGTTGACTTGCTGCCTGAAAAATACTTTGAAAACACTTTTCAAGGCACTAAGGAGATGGCTCAGCTTGGTCAGTAAAATGCTTGCTGAGTTCAGTCCCCAGCACTCGTGAAAAGTGAGGCCTGGTGGTGCACACTTGTAATCCCAGCACTGGGGACAAGGAGAGAGACGCGTCCTTAGAGATCACTGGCCAGAAAGAGTAGGCAGTAAGAGAGCCTATCTCAAACAATAAAATGGATGATGCCCTAGGAATGATACCACAGGTTGACCTATGTACTCTGTGTGCACACACAAAACACATGTACAGACACACACACATACTCACCTGGTGTGCACATACACATGGAATCCTTTGGAACTCTAGGGAGCAAGGTGAGAAAAAGAAAACTGCTTCTGTTTTTGTGCCCTGTGATGTCAGTAATACATCACCTGTTTTGGTTTATTTCAGGCTCGGCTCACCAAAGAGCATCGCTGGGGGAGCGCTCTGCTCTCCAGGAACCATTCCTTAGAAGAGGAGTTTGAGAGAGCAAAAGCAGCAGTAGAGGTAACTCTTAAAACAAGAACTCTGCACTTCAAGTTTCTGAGGGTGGCATTCAAAAAATCTCAAACTGCAGAGAGATGCAGAGGAAATGGAACTGTGGGCATGAGAAAAGCAGGATAGTTGTTGAGATGAGAGTGTGCCAGAGAAGCTTTGATTCCCCACCAGGATGACAGGAAGTGTCTGTGCTTCTGCTGGTTCTGTGATCAGTTGGCGATGCGAGTCTGAAGCCTGTATCAGAAAGCAGCACTCCGAGGCTAGTCTGGGTTCCATGGATTTGTCCAGTGGCAACCCATCGTAACCAGCACCATTAATCCTTAGTACTAGGTATCCAAACACTGTTAGTGAGTGAAAAAAATACTTTAAACACTAATTTCTAACTATTTAGTTTTCTAATGGAAAGAGAGGGGAGAGGGAAGGAAGGCCAAAGGATAGGAGAAATAGACAAAAAGCAGTTCTTGCAGGTTCTTTTACCCGGTTCCCTCCCGGCAGAACGGGCAGGGTGGCTTGCAGATGGGTGCGGATCACAGCCTCCATAGCTGCTCTTTGAGCATGGAGCTTTTTTCCCAGACTCGAGCATGATCCTGTTAATACCTCTGTTGCCTCTGGTGATTTCAATCTTGAAACTGCAGGCACTCTTGGAATATGCCTCACTTATGCAGCCTTCTCACCCCTAGAGTTCAGATGAAATGATTATATTAAGGGTGGTCTTCCAGTAACTCTATACTCAGGGTGCGGGAAAAGCCTATTTGCAATTTAATGTTACCAGGTTCTGTTCTGGGAAATCATCTCAGCCGTGATTCATAGCATTCAGAAACCAGTAAGAGCACACTTTTATCTCCCCACGCCAAAATCGTTCAAATTCCCTCTTTAATTTTAAACTTCTCTAATTTAAAAAAAAAAAAAAGCTAATGAATATTTTAGTGTTCTGAGCAGGAGCCTCTGATGTAGTTAGTCAAGACCAGCTGTGTTCGATCAGGTTGCTCAAATGCATGGAGCCTGTGGCTTAAATTATCTTAAATGTAAGTTTTTCAGTTTTAAGAGCTAATTTAAATATAGCTATTGAGCCCCTACTGTGTGTGGCACACAGCGGTAGCTCTCAGACTGCTATTTAGGCACATAGAATCTTGGGTCAAGAAAGACATTAGCATTTGGTCTCATTTGTAATGAGAAAGATAATGAATTTAAACCCGAAAGACTCCATGGTGGAATTGATTGACAAGGAAAATGTACTTAAGTACATATTCATTGAATTGAACCTGAGTTTGGGTCATAATCTAAAAACCCCTCTATCCTACTAGGAAAATAATTTTTTTAACTCCTGACAAATTACTCCTGTTTCTACCTGGACAAATAAAAATAGGGGCAACCTCCCTCTTTTTAAGAAAACCCATTTCCATCTTGAAAGCTACTAATTATCCACAGGCTCTTTCTTATAATGAAAATGACACAACAGAAAATTTCCATGTTGCCTGGTGTCGACTTTCCTCACTTCCATCCACCTCTAAACAATACTCACCTCACCTCATCAAACTGTTTTCTGCCTTCCCTGTCTCTTGGTTGTTATTCCAATGCATCCCTTGCAGCTACAGGACAACATCATGTTGGTAACCAATCTACATCTCAGTGCCCAACCTCTATGGTTCTGTATCACAGCTCTCTGGAGTCTGTAGGTTACTTTAGTAGATTCATTTAACGTACATTCCTGGCTGCCTACAGTACTGGCTGCTGAACTAAGGGCTAAAGACAAAGGACCCAGCCTTAAACAACTACAAGACCATCACAGGGAGCAGAGGACCTTCTGCTGGAGTTTCATCTGTGAGATGAGGGCTTGGGCTTTTCCTGTCCCAAAACCCAAAAAATTCATGCCTTAAAATAAAAGGAGTGGTAGGGACAGGATTCCCGGCTAATCAGAAAAGTGAGTGACTTTCCTCAGCCTGGTGCTGAGAACCTTCCCTGAGGACTGAAAAGAGATGGTAGTACCAGAGGGATAGATAGTTGTGGAGAAAAAATGGGGGAGGGAGGTATTTACAGCAAGCTAATGTTCAATCGCGCCTATAACACTTCACGCATCTGCGGACTTTTCGTCTCCACACATCACTCTTTCTCAGAGTATTATCTATATTCATGGCAGAAGACACAGCCTCATCCCTTCCTAGACTCCCCAGCTCCTCAAACTGTCACCTTGGGAGTGAGTTCAGCATATGAATCTTGGAAGAATGCCCAAATTGCAGCAGAGCCTGTGTGCCCAAATGTTCACAGTGTTTATTCTTGGATGGCTGCACCTGGGGGTAAATTATTTTATTCTATTGTCTTATCTGCATTTTTCTCTAGCCTGTCACATTGCTAACTGGAGGGAGTCTTACAGTGAGATGTAAGATTCTTAATTACATTTTTATTTAGTGTGTGTGCATGCACATGCATGTGTGGAGGTCAGAGGACAGCTTGACGGAGTAGTTTGTTTCTCTCCTTCCACCATGTGGGACCTGGGATTGAACTCAGGTCATCAGGTTTGGTGGCAGGTTCCTTTACCCACTGAATCATCTCACTGGCTCCAGAACATAAGATCTTAAAGGAAATTGAGGATATCAGTTGGTAGAATGCCTGCCTTAGGTTCAGGAGACCCTGGGTTCTATTTCCAGTACTGCATTAACCAAATGTGCTGGTACACACCCATGATTTCAGCACTCACATGCTGGAGAAACTGGAACTCAAGATCCTCCTCAACTACATAGCACACTGGAGACTGTGTAAGACCCAGTCTCAAGAGAAAGGGGTTCCTAAAAGACCAATTGTGAATGAAGTCTGCCGGACTGGGAGAGGTTAGAGAGGATAATGGGAGATGTGAATATGATCACAGCCCAATATACATAGGTATGAAATTGTCAAAAATAAAAGGTAAAGAAAATAAATAAGAGGAAAACTGGTGCTGCTGGTTGTTTCTTGAAAGGCAGTTCTAAATACCAGTAAGATCCAGATGAAGGGACCAGAATATGTACCTCAGTGGTTAAGAGCATGTACTGCACTTGTAGAGGACTGGAGTTCAGTTCCCAGCACCCACATTAGATAGCTCACAACTGCCTATAACTCCAGCTCCAGGGGATCTCATGCCCCCTTTTGGCCTACACTAGCACCTGCACTTGCCTAAACATAACTCCCACACAGACACACATGCTTACACATAATTAAAAAATAAATCCAATGCCTTTTAACCTGGTCCCTCTACACCTGGTCCCTCTACACCTGGTCCCTCTACACCTGGTCCCTCTACACCTGGTCCCTCTACACCTGGTCCCTCTACACCTGGTCCCTCTACACCTGGTCCCTCTACACCTGGTTCTTCACCTCCTGCTTCCTGTCTGTCTTCTGCCCTTCAGTCCCACCCCTGACCTGAGCTCTAACACACCAAGTTTATTATCCATGCTTCTACTTTCTCTTTTCTGTGGGTGCATTCCTCTCCCAGGTCCTCATGCAGTGGGGTCCTTCATGTTACTCACACTGTAGCTGAAGTGGCAGTCCCCTAGAAAAGCCCATGTAAATCCCATTAGCTGTTACATTGCCAGGGATATTCCTGTTTTGCATTCATCATTGGATATGTCCTATACATTTTTGACTGTTACATATCTTTTTATGTGAAGTGTGGCTTCCATGAGAGATGATGCTTTCTCTTGTATTTGTCTATGTGAAATATAAATTTGCCTGGTGCTTCTTCATTGACTTGTGTCCATACTTGTGATAGTTTTCATTGTCAACTTAATACATCCTAGTCATCTGGGAACAGGTAACCTCAATTGAAGACTTGTCCAGACCAGATTGGCCTATGGCCATGTCTATAAGAGATTGTCTTGATTGGTGGTTGATATGAGAGGGCCTAGCCCACTGTGGGCAGTCCCATCCCTAGGCAGGTGAGTCTGAGTAGTATAAGAAAGCTAGCTGAGCATGAGACAAGGAGCAGACCAGCAACCAGCACTCCTCCTTGGTTTCTGCTTCAAGCTCCTGCCTGGAGTTCCTGCCCTGACTTCCCTCAGTGATGGACTGGCAACTTAGAAACATAAGATGAAGTAAACACTTCTCTTCCTAAATTGTTCTAGTCATTTTGTTCATCACAGCAACAGAAAGTAACCTAGAGCACAGTTCCCCAATATCTTCTGGAACAATTCTTGGTTCTTAGCATATGCTGAGTGAAGGGATGTCTGTGTGGATCACCACATGGGTAATACTTCCTTCTGTCTGTTTCCTGTTGTATATAAAGTGTCGTATAACCTTCTACTGTAAGAGCAGCTTCGCCGGGCGGTGGTGGCGCACGCCTTTAATCCCAGCACTCGGGAGGCAGAGCCAGGCAGATCTCTGTGAGTTCGAGGCCAGCCTGGTCTCCAAAGCGAGTTCCAGGAAAGGCACAAAGCTACACAGAGAAACCCTGTCTCGAAAAACCAAAAAAAAAAAAAAAAAAAAAGAAAAGAAAAAAGAGCAGCTTCATTTTGACACCGTTCTTACATGACTCACGGCCACTTTAGGACTATGATGAACTGTCCCCTGTGGTCATCTTCACCTCAATAACACAGGAAGTGCCAACCAATTGCTCCATGATGTAGCATGAGCATAGTTTATACTCACATTGGATAAGCTCACTTTTCCTTGTATTAAGACCTAAACCTGTGATTTCGCTCATTTTTAAGATAAAATGCCCTAGATAAAATCACTAGAAGAAGAAGAAAAAATACACTGGAAAGCAGACACACATTTATTGCATGTATAAACAACCTACAAGCCTGTTAATAATATTCAAAGGCTGGCACTGTTTGAGGTCACCTTGAACTACTCCTTCTGGCAATGTTTCTTATGGGGGAGACTTTTTCCCTCCATCTCCCATCTTTCTACTGAAGAAAAAAGAAAAATGCAAATTCACTTCTATCTAAAGTATCATGAATTTCAAACAAAGAGCTGGTGTTTTTCTTTTAGGCTTAAAAAAATGTGCATCTTCCCCTTGTGAAAGGAAGAGGCCCTTC